AAGCTGAATAACTGTGAGCAAAAGAATTGGAATGCAAGGGTACCCCCATATACAGTAACTGAACTCAGACTGAAAACAGTAGAACAGTAGGTCATCTGAAACACTTGATAAATAGACTGTCCTTTTAGACACAAAAAATTACAGAGCACTGAGGTTTACAATCTCACCAACTTTCAGGTCAAAGCAGTTATCAACCTTCACCGTACCAAAGCTAGTTAAATGGAAAAAACCCTGAAGCTCAATATTCATTTTGTCTACTAGGACTACATACACATGTAAAACACTTCGGAAATCTAATTAGAAAACAGTTTTAGAATTATATTGTCAATAAACCCAACAAAATTGTCTAAATCAATGACCAAAAGCCACAGGCTTGCTAAAAACCCCTAACATAACTTCCTGTTTAGGCTACTCAATCACCTTCTCAAACCGTAATTAAAGTAAACCCACTTCTGTAGAAGTGGAAAATAAAGCATCCGTTTGCAAATTTATTTATTCCAACCTCACCAAAAGAGATAAAGAGAATTTTTTAAGTTTTTTGGGGGTGTCTTTTTTGAAGAAACATCTACAGAACTATAGGCCAGCAGCTTCCCAGAGGCCAGATCTGTAATAAATCACTTTCTTCTGGAAGTAAATCTTATCTGCTACTACACACATTCAGAGATATTTACACAGGCAACAAATACTTAACATCCAGATTTATAATCCTAAAGTAACAGGAGAACCTGAAAGAGAAGCGATACAGTGGCAGTATCTCTAAATATACCATGTTATACAGGCAAAACTGTTCAGTGATACAGACCTCTGACCCAGTAGTATTTATTCTACAACCCAAAGCCATCAACCTGGGCAGGAGCATTTACTGATGAGGGCCAGCTGTCTTATAAAACACAGAACAGACTGTCACCATGGGCTGCAAGCTGTTTAGCAACCATTATGTGTCCAAACAAACATATGCCAAAGGGGGACATTTTTCCAGATTGCCCAGGTATATTCAAATCTGCAATATTCAGGAATATCCAGATCCACATTCATCCACTAACAGCTATTGTGAATATAGAAAAGACATGCACATGTTTTACTGAGGAAAGTAACTGTTCATTTAGTGAAAGATAAAATGCCATTGAGACTTGTTTTAAGATTATTAGCCATCTCTTGATTATAGAGGAAGAACTTCAGAAGTCCCAAGATCAGCAAGAAGCATGTTACCAGAGAAAACTAATGCAACTGCACGTAAATGGGCAAAACACACTGCTTAATGACATCCACAGCGTCACAAATAATCTAACTATAAAACAGAAGCTAATCATGTTTTAACTATCATCGTACGCTTGTTTTTTCCCCTAAATAGCATACTGCTTAATATTAAGCTAAAAAGTTCCTGTCATTACTGAGCATACAGCAGGCTCTGCATGACACTTAAAGGACAGTACACACTCATTCCATATTCTCAGGCTGTAAGTCTGCCCTCCTGGGGTAGCACACATCCTCTGGGGAATGCACAAACAATCCAAGGAGAAAACAGAGAAGCATGGTGTCTTAATGCAAAAGCAACATCCAGAAATAGAGGTTATACTTTTATAGAGTATAGGACAAACAGCATACCCCCCCCAGGCAATTTTCATACTACCCAGACATAGACATTATTTCCACTATTTGGAAAGTGTAAATTAAACCAGGGAAAAAAAACAGTTGTCAATTTATCTTTTTTTAGACAGCTTATTCAAGTTCTGTGGTTCCACACAGCAGAAATGCTCTACATAAAGTTGTTTCTATTTTGTTACTTACAGATACCTCTGCTATAGGTCAGAGTTTGACACAGCAAAGTATACAGAATAATCGCAGACACAAGAAAAGTTACGTTGCTGTATTCCAGCTTGAAGATCAGGATACTTTGAAAACTACACTGAACTTTATGTCAGCGGCACAGCAGCGAAACAATTCACATAGAAAGTAATTCACCAACAGTCCTATAAATACTGTATGGCTGCATTAATGTTAAGAAGAAATAACAGCTGAAGAAAAAAAATATACTGCAGGATGGATATAAAGAGGCAGAGAAACAAAATGTCAATTTTGAAATTTAGTAACAGAAAGACATCACTGCCTCTGTCCTTTTAAGAGGCTACAGCATCTCTTGGGGAAGAGATATGAAGTACAGTACAACTGGCATGCTGACCATGTATCTTATTCAACCCATGCCACTGAATGCCTGAAAGATACAAAGGCAACACTCACTGCAGTTAAAACAGCAAGACAAACATGAAAATGCTAACCAGGAAACTGGCTTCAACTTGAACTGACAGCACCCACTAATCATTATGCTTCCATAGGGCATTGGAGATACACACTATTTTGCATTGCTTCAAGACAGTGACTGCAAAAACAGTATGAGAAAAGGGAATGGGGGAACCTTCACAGTCAGGACAAGAACCCTGGTGCATAACCTATGCCTTTACATCTTACAACATATAGTATGGGGAGAGAAAAGAAATGATGAAGAACTCCTAGAAATCATCCTATTTGAAGTCTCCATTAGTACATCACTTAACAACTGTTTGCTATCCCAAGATCATACCACAAAGCTACCAGTCGCATCAACATCTTCACCCTGTGTCAGCCAGGGCTCTCAGGGTAATCAAGACCAACCTGCTCTGGTAAGGACCTGCAGCTGAACAAGTCCAGAACATGCAGCACAAAAAATTTGTAATTCTAGGACCTCTATCAATTAATAGTTTCTATGCAGATCTTAATTAAACCCAAGCTTGAGCTTACTTTGAAATAAGCACAAGATGTACCTATTCTGACTCTCCTGCAGAAGTAGCTCTGTCTCCCTTTTTGAAAAGCAGCTTGGAAAGAGGCAAGCGCATCTACACCTGTGAGGCCTGGTTGGTATGCATAAAGCTTGGGTGAACAACTGCAGAGTGACATGGCTCACATATGCACCTACTACTCATGTAAAACAACCAGTTTCAGGCCCAGCATTCAAACTATTCATTTTAATTTTCACTGCTGTAGCTGCACAAAAAAAACAGTAGAACCATGGAGATTTAAAACAAACAAAACAAAAACAACCAACCAACCACCAACACACACAAAAAAAGAAAACACAAAATACACAGGTATCAATGGCCTTACTGAAATGATGAGCAAACACACTTACTTAACTGTAGCTTTTACAAAATGATCTTTCCTTGGAAGAGAGGATTCAAAATTAAACTGACAGGAGTGCAAAAGAAGCAACAGGTGAAAATACACAAAGAACAGCTAAGCATGCATAAAGTAGTCTGATGTTGGAAACAGGAATACTTCCTCGCATGGGATATGATAATGTTTCATTTAGCTTTTAGACTGCTGAATTACTCTCATCAGCAGTGGAGGAGGGTGGTGATAGTCCACAAGTTAAAAGTTCAAGTACTTTATTTTCAACATACTGTCTTCTCATGTACATCGTCTTTTAAAAGAACTACTGTAGCTAATCTCAACCCTGTTCTTTCATATTTGATGCATAAGCCGCATAAGAGTTCCGCAACAGTGCTATGCAGAAGAGATTCAGAGACCACAGTATGCTCTGCGTACAATGAATGAGCTACTTGTACAGCCTCCAGATGTGCACACACACACAAAAGTCTTAAATTGAATCTCACAGATCAGTGCTGAACAAACACAACACCCAAACTGATCCTGCCTGTTTCCAAAGAGACCTCAGCACAACTCACCTAGGCTTTGCATATCCCCAGACACTAAGGCTTCTAATACATCATTGTATTTCAAGTATTCCCCTCCTTCCCTCAGGGCCACTTTATAAAGATCCATAGCTGCTTTCAGTAAACATCTTCCCCATTTTCTCCACATCCCACATAATGTAAACACAGTTGGAAAAAATGCACAGTTTTAGTTTTTCACCTCTATTTTTCTTCATTCATACTTGAAGAAAAGCTTTAGCCTGTATCACACTGATACAGTCCTTGACAAGCATAAAAGTGTATTTACTTTTGTTTGGTCAGAGCACAGAAGTTTCCTCACTTACAGTACCTTCCTGTGTGAGAGGAAAAGCTATAGTAAATCCCAATCATCTCTCCCTCTGTTTTGTTGGCTTTGGTTTAAACATCTCCTGCAATTTTCTGCTTTTGGATGTAGTTTCCTTGTATGGGTAGTCCATGACACTCATATTGTGTAAGCCCGCGCTTACTGGCATTCCATCAATCTACTAAAACCATTATCCTGAACATTTGTTAGGGGCTCAATAAAACGAGATTCACACTCATTGACGCACCTCAACCTACACCTGGATTCACTCCAATGCACTACTGATTCGCTCCTTCAGACGGTATGGGTGGGCGAAAACATGCTGACCAACAAGTAGGATCAACTAGCTCTTTCCCCAAAGTACACTAAGTTTAGTGTGCTTGAATCCCCAAAACCTTGAGATTATTCCGAGCACTTATGAAGTGTATTTAAATTGGACAATTTCACAAAACGCAGCTTGATTGAAACAATATAACAAAGAGGAAGAGGATAAAAAGGGCAGAAGAAGAAAGAAACCTTAAGGTTTTATCTGCCTTGATAACTGCGTGTCTCAGCACACTGCAAGCGACAGTGCTTTGAACTCAGGTCAACCGTTCTGGTTCAGCGAGGGCCAGCCCTACAGCCAACTACCCGGGGAGAGGGCTGCAGGGAGCCCATCAACAACTGCTAAGCCCTCCTTTTACAGTGGAAATCACGAGTAGCAACCCTGAGGCTGCCCTGGCCGCCGTGCGACTCATGGGACCCGCGCCCTTCCTGTGAGCCCGAGGCCACCGCGCGGTGCGGCCACCCGGCCGAGACCCGCACGAACCGCCGTCGTTCGCAGCCTCGCCACTACCCTCCGCTTCAGTGGGCGGCGGGGCTCGCCCCTGCGGCGAAAGCACGGGTTGCACTTTCACGGGAAGCCCCGGCTAGAGCTTCCTCAGAGGTGGCTCCGGGGCCCCTCCGGGACGGGCCCAGCCGTTGATACTCACGTATCGGCTCACGAGGGTCCGGAGGAGGCTGCAATCCATGGCGGGCTGGCGCCGCCGCCGCTGCCCGGGCACTCAGGACCGCGCCGACCGGTGCTCTCCGGTGCCGCCGGGCTCCCTGGCTCGCCTCACTTTCCACATGCAGAGAGCAACGCTCGCCCCACCAGACCGCCGTTACCCTGGCCCGGCGCTCGCCGCCGACCTCGGCTATGCCATGTGCTCGCCGCCGCCGCCACTGCGGCGCGGCGCCCCACGGCCCCTCATGCCCGGCACCGGCACCACCACAAGCACTTTGGCGGAGGGGAACCAGATAAAACACACCGCTCGCACGCCGTCCGGCTACCGACAAGGGCTGTCCCGGCGCCCAGGCACTTTAACCGGCGGGCGGGGCAGGGCACAGGGACCGCCCCCACGCCGCTCCCCCTCACGCACGCACGCGCGCGCGCGCTCCCGGTACCCCGCCTGACCCCAAGCCCCGGCCCGGTTCGCGCAGCTCCGGCTTTGCTCTCGTGGGGCGGCCCCAGTCAGCGCGCGTGACGGGGTGGGGTGGGGGACCACAGGCATGCGCTCGCCGGCACCACCGCCTCCTTTCCCCCCCTCCCCTTCTTTTCCCACACACAACCGATCCTTGGTGTCCTGCCCACGGCCGTTAACGGTGGGTAACGGCTCCCGCTTGCTCGCGGCTGGACTGAGGGTGAGCGGAGGTGGGGGGCACATAAAACCTGCTGGGAGGAGAAAAGCACTTTAAAACCTTCTGCCCGCCTTCGCGCTATCCCCCATTCCCCCGTGCGGATCGCGGTGAAGCGGGACACGGGGTGGGAGAAGCCAGGCGGCCGCCCCATGCCAGGGAAAGGAAGGAAGGAAGGAAGCAAGCAAGCAAGCAAGGGGGAAGGTGAGGAGTGAGCAGCCGCCGCGCCCTTCCGGGGCCCTCTGGAACGACGGTGTTGGAGGGCTGCCTCTGGCGGCGCCGGGACGGAGGGCAGCCTTCAGCCGGTGCCAGGAGCGAGGGCACTGTAGCTCTGCTGTGGTGGTTCGCCAGGGTGCGAGGTGTCCTTTGTGAGACCGCAGATGCTTTTAAATGAGTGTTACCTATTGCAGGCGGCTTGGCTGAACTGATAAAGGCAAAAAATTCTTCGCTCCCTCCCGCTTCTCTTCCTCTGCGTCCCGGCTGCCGAGGAAGGGCAGATGACAGCGGTGAGCTGCGGTGTTTTGTCGGGGCACGGAACAGGTGGAAGCTTCTCCTTTGGAAAGCGCAGCAGAAGCAGTAGAAGGAATCTCTTTTTTTCAGTAACTGAAGCCCTAATAAGCCTACAAACAGCAGAAATGTAGGTGAAGGGATAAGAAGTCAGCAAGAATGTACACAGAGGGTAGGAGCCTATCCCGGGCTTTTCAAGTTAGCTGAAATAACACCTTTGAAGGCTTTTGTTTTCATGCCATTCATACCAAAGGACTCCCTCAAGTTTGCAAGAATCCTATAGGTCTCAGATAACTCATATGTTACTCTGTACACTAGATAAAAATCTGACTTAAAGCTAAATACTTTCTCCAAAATAGTTGGAACTTACTAATTTTATGACATTAGATATTTAACAAAAAGTGACTTTTAACAAAAAAGCAAGATCAAAACCATTTTATTGTTGTGAAAATCCATCCCTTTCTGTAGCAATGATCACGTAAGCTGTCCTTTATCTCCTAGCTCAGGGACAAAACTAGGCAATTTTTCTTCCTTTATGTGTTGTCACGATTCAGTAGTTCTTTGGATACCATAAAATCTAAACCGAAAAGTAACTGAATTTCTTATACAGTGGAAAAAATGTAGATTATGCTTTCTGAGATCATCACATAAATGCTAAGAGAAAGGACACAGGACTGATTCTTTACAGGTCACCTTTAATTTAAATGCATTATATATGTTCAGCATTTTTTTATTACTGGTTGGATTGCAAAATGTGTAATGCGCACTAAGTGCAGTGTGGTCAACCTAATGTTGCTGTTCAAACTCTAAAATGATGTTAGTCTAAACCCCAGTTTTCTTCATCTTGGTTACTACAAATAATTTATATGCATTTTGCAGCATCTCCTGTTTTCATGCTCCTATTTACACACCTAACACTTCTGTAACATAGGTTTGGGTACTTACATTTCACTTTCAAGGCATGGCCACTGAAACAGAAAAGGAATTAAAAGCTGTGAAAGAACAGAAATTTCTCACAAAATTTGTAATTCTGGATAAGTCAAAACTACATTCTTACCTGTTTGTTTGCTTGCATGAACAATTACATATTAATACTGTGTGTTTCATCAGTCTTTAGGAAATTAGTTTATTACAAAAAACGTAGAAGAACCTCATTAATGAACATGAAGTAATAATGTCAAACAAAATGCATAGCTTGCAAAACTCAAAGCGGAAATTGTTTCAGTTGGTTTTTAGGATTATTCTCTGCCTAGCCATTCCATTTTCAAAGAATTCATGGAATATTCATATTTCATAATATTTTATGAGCTATTTTCCTTTAGTCAAATTGTGACATTTAATCAATCCAGTGTCTTTAATGACAATGCTGCTTACACAGATTTGGAATGAAAGCAAACTGTCAAATTATGCAGAAAACTTTTTTGTTTTTTGTTTGTTTGTTTGTTTGTTTTTGTTTTTTGTTTTGGTTTTTTTTTTGTTTGTTTGTTTTCAAATTTTCTTTCTTTTAATACTTGCAATAGCTTCTTTCATCCAAATACCACCATGTATTTTCCATGTAAGTAAGCGTCATTTCTTCATAGAGTGGGTAATAACTCCTATGTGTTAAAACCCACAATTATCTCTACATTGTTTCCATTAGAAAACCTGTGTGGGGTGCCCATGCTGCTTCGTGCAAGTAGCCGTTATGAAGGGAGGGAGCTTCACCTCGTGATCTGGTAACAGTTAACACTCAGTGGTGATCATGATCATTGCAAGGACAGCTGTGAGATTCCGAGCTTCTTGCTGTGTCTCCAGCTTAGGTAACCTAGATGAGCCTGCAAGAAACATTTCCCTTCCATCCAGATCAGGGACCCACTAGTAAATCCCCTGTGGATGCAAAGGTTGACTGTATTCTCTTAAGGTGAAAAGGGGACCAGGGTTCCTGTTCTCACTGACTGTTTCGGTCAAGGGCAGGGAGAAGGGAAATACACGCTCAGATACATATTTGCCATTTCCAGGCTACTGCTCAAGCTAAGCTGAGCCATTTTTCTGCCCTTCCCAGTGAACCCATGGCAGTATGCTGCCAAGAAAAATAGAAAAGGAGCACAGCTGGATCTGGGCACATACTGAGGTGAAATCCCAGCCTGCACTAGTTGTCCTTTGTGCCCATATTTCTGCAAAGAGGAAACCTAAATGTGCAGTCCAGATAAAAGCACTGATAGGCCACTGAAAGTTAACACAGCACACCCTTGCTGACTGAGTGGTGTTTGTGCAAGAAGAACTGAACAGCAGATATATATGCCTTTTTGGAGTAACAAGCTCCCCCACAGTTAGTGTGCAACTGAGCACAGCGCTTAGGTTGTACTTTTAGACTTAGGTACCTCAAAGCTGCCTAAGTCAGGTGTAAGGTGCCTGAGTCCTTTATTAGATCTAGCTTGAAGTGACCTGCTAAAGGTCACGTTGTGACGTAACAGTCGAGCCAAAGGAGCAGCCTTAGTCATACTGCTCATGGCTCTGTTCTGCCTATTATGCAATGTTTCACTTTGAAGCAATTTATTAAACTAATAGTCTTTGAATATACCATCACATTTATTTCACTCCTCATTTCTCATTTTAAAAATAAATTCCTAAAATTACCTGTATACTGCCTCTACCTTGCATGACCCAGCTCTTTTCTAGATGTCTTGCTTCTTTTCTGACTGCACATTAGAGCTCCTCCTCTATTCCTCTCCATTTCTACCTCATATTCTTACAGAATGATTCCTTCTGATTCATTACTGAATTACTCTCAGCCAGCTCCTACCTGCCCAGCTGATTTACCAAATGTTCTAGATCCTGCCACTTACACAGATTCTCACATCCCTTCTGATTTACTTACTGTATCAGCACAACTCTGCTTAAAACATCCCATTATTTGTTTAAATAGCATTAGATACCAAGTTGAATGTAGTAGTGTGCAAAAGACTTTTTCTTTGTACAGCTGTGTTTTCTGCTACTTTGCAATCCTTGTTGGGTTGCCCTGTTTTATAACTGCAGTCAAAATGCTGAGAGACTAGTCCAAGAGCAGCAGCTCACTTCATGCTGAATTCTTGAAGCAGTGATAGTCCATGGTTTAGTCTACTTCATCTTTGAAAGGTAAGAAGGCAGGATTTAGAGGTGGATCTGAATAAAGTTCAGGCACAATGGTGATATAGTATGCACTGATAATATGGTAGGCATCAAAGGCACTGGAGTTCTAGATTTTAAGATGTTTAATATCTGTTATTCCTGCTCCGTATTATGTTATAGTGACTATGTACCTCTAGTAGTTCTGGCCAAAGTGACTAAAAACTGTAAGTGGTAAAGTTGGCTTGGGCATGTGTGAGAACAGTCTGACGAGAGGGAAATAACAGGGATTGAAAAGCCATTTATTGTATGCAGCTCATCTGCTTAAGGAAATGGTGTATGCTTTGAATGAGTAGTTTATCCTGCAGTATTCCTGGCTTTTCCCCTACAAATTTATCATTTCTTAATTGTGTCTTTCCCTCTATTATGTTTCTGAAAAGCTAATCAAAAGAACCACTTCTTCTCTTTCTTGCATCTACACCATATATTTCAACTAGTTAATTTGTATTAACAAGGGAAATTGTTCTCTCAGTGGAACAGATGTTTATGCTTTGATCTATTGCAAACAGCATTTTCTCAGATCCTTCTGAATATTGGTTGTGAAAAGAGATACCAACACTAATTTTGAAGTCTTTGTATTATGTTAAAAATATTTCACTCCCTGGCATTTGTGATAGATGTACTTCATTTGAAGAAGAATGTAATTAATCGTTATTGTGGTGCTCCAAGGACTTACCTGTCCAAAACAGCTAACTGAAGGTGAAGCCAAGGTGTGAAGCCAAAGCATGGCCAGCATGGCACTGCTATAATGATGATTCTGTTAGAAGCACAGTGGCCCAGAGGACAAAGCATTAAGCACTGGATAATGAAGATCACTCTTGCTTGACATTCTTTGTCTAGATGTTTTTTTCCAGAAAGTATGTGTGAAAATGAGACATATTTCTGACTCTCTGACCTCTCTGTTTCTAACCTCTGACAATAATGCATAACTTCTGTTATTCTCAAAAGCTAAATGCACTGTCATTATGACAAAACATGATTCCCACATCACTGCTAACAAAGATGACCTTTGTTGTACAGTTTCTTAACAAAATCCTCTAAAAGAAGAGAGTTTGGCTTCTAAATATCTGACAATCAGATAAATGCACAT